TTACTCTTTATAAACTGGACTTAGCCTTAAACTTACCTTCTCTCGCAAAGTGTGGTACCGTTCGTGTTCTTTATCGCTTTGGTTCTTAAATGTTCAAAAAAATACCTCCCTTTAACAACCCCTCCCTCCAAGTACTTTGGCTAGTGACTCCGTTTCAGAGTCGCAAAGGCAATCTGTGAGGTGAGTCCACTATTAGTTTGATAAAACAGTGTCAAATGATCATTGAAACTTAAAAAGGCTCCCGGTCGTTAACCTCAAAAAGTACTGACTTGGTGACAATTTTCCCGTCTCTTAAAGTTTGAAACCTCCGTTTAATCCATACAATGTCTTTCCTTGTGCTACGTGCCTCCTATTTTCTATTTAAAGTTAATCACAAAAGATCGACGAAAAATAACTTCGCTTCTTAACCCCCCTAATCAGTCCTCTCTGTTTTGTGATGCCACGTTCAGGTCCTCAGCGTTGTGGATTCCCAACTCTCGGCTCGTGCTGCGTTTTTTGATCTAGCCCTACAGTCCTGGCCACGGCTTTCGGTTATGTGTCTTGAAGTAATCTGTGGTTTTGCTGACGCATCTCCGGCCAACCTTCCTCCCAACTTGTTTCAAGTCCTGATGCCATTCATCGGATCGAATCCTAGCGATCTGCGACAGCATGCTCAAAACTTCCTCGTTTGCGTTTATCTGCGTAGACCGGGTTTGAAATATCTGTTGACTTCTTCCAAAGCTCATGTCTTACTTTCTCAACCGTCGGCTGCATGCCGCAGCCTTCCAGCCTGTTTTGAACAGTCGGAGGTGTGTGCATTTCTAAACGTCTTTATAATGTTTACTTTAATCATTTGAGTAATATGTTTTTCTTCCTGGCCCTTAGATCGACCGACTGGGTCCCTCGTTCCTCATAGGTCTTTCCGGCAGTCAGGAGGCCGTGCGTGATATGTCCGCCATCGCTAGTTGCACTCTTGCAGTAAACCACCCACGCGCCTGCCTTAGACTTCTCCCGCTTGCTGCAGGCCTCTCTCAAGGTCGACTAGAGAGTGCATCTACTGGAGGACTGATAAGTATA